TTCTGTTTTGGTTGTATCAGGGACTGGCTTTGGTAAGACATGTTACAGAACATTTTTGGTTTCAGTTCAAAATTCATCTCAACCCTTTATCCTCAAGAGTGACTAATATCATCCCTGTATCACACATAAATGTCAGGAGAATTAAGAAAATGGTCACCAACAAAAGATAAGCTCTTCATTGTTGAATAAACTCTCCTTATTATCCAACTACACCTAGACGAGTACAAATAATGCCATAGACAAGTACAAATATCGAGTGGTATTTGTACTCATCTATTGTAGTACTGGTTAAACAGGTTTTCTCGCATCACGCAAGCGAAGAATTGGATTGTAATTAGGAAAAAAAAAAGTGGCGGACAATTTGAATCATATTTCCGACGACGAAGAGTCAGAATGGCTGGCAAATATAGGTCCAAGTTCATTAGATGAATCGAATGAAGAAAAACAGCTTGATGACCAGAAAATTTTTTCATTTAATGAAGAAAATAGAAACAGCGACACAACAACACGCCAATTCTGTTCTGCTTCGCATGCTTCTGTCACACACTCCTCGAAAATAAATATCCGCAAAATTTGCCAGTACTGAAATAACAGTTTGGCGTGTTGGATAATAAATAACTTATTAGGCGTTTTGTTGTGTTGTATCGCTGAGTATTTTTACTTGTTATTTGTATTTTGACTCGCCTTAGAGGCTCGTCAAAATACAGCTCACAACTCATTAAAAATACTCAGCGATACTACACAACAAAATGTCTGATAAGATATATTTATCAGTACCTTAGGGAATGTATAAAGAACAGTAACTATGGAGAATATGCACTGATGTTAGGGTTAAGGTAAATCCATTTACAGTAGTCATGTCAAATTATTTTACAATACATTATTTTATCACTCGGTGCATGGTAAGAGTAGAATTTTTTTATTCAGAAATATAAAAATAATCATAGGCTAAACAGAGTCATTCATAAAAACTTAATTGTGTACTTTTTTTCTGTGAGGAAAAGAACTTAATTGGCACAGTTTTTGTGTTCTCTTCAGTTGCAAAGGCATGATGTGGGAACTCACTCAGTGCCCAGTTCAGTGCTTTAATTGAAGTGCTAACCAATCACATTTTACAATTTTGTTTAGGGACCATAAAGTGTTGAAGTTGTTTGTCCTGTTTCTTCTTATAGTCATTCAAAAGACTGTCCAAACTGTAGAGCAAAGGCTCAACTCAAGTCTGCTGTACCAGTGAAGGTGAGATAAGAGTTAAAGGGGTGCATGATCAGAATAGAACCCTAAGGTTATTTTTGATGGAACACCAACTTCTCTCTCTTTTTATTATTTTGTCAGGTAATACATGACAATTTGGAAGGAGAACCTTGTAGTCTATCATAAGTCAATCAGGCCTTTTTTCTCTCCACAGTTTTGCTTGCCCAACTAGTGCAAGTCTAAGTGAATTGTACTTGTATCCTATAAGACATTCTCACAATCAGCCTTAATGT